GAGGCTTTCTTTACAAGTTTTATGTTATGAAACAAGTCCCATTAAAAGATTACAACTAAGATTGTTTGATATATAATGCGAAAACGCAATGGAATTAAGGTTTTCGCTATAAAAAAAGATGTTAATTAAACTTGATAAAAATGCACATAATGTTGATGGCATAAAGATTTAATTGAATATTGAAATTCTACGGCGTGCGTACAATTCAAATTTACTACCAATCCTAGAGAATTTTTGTTGAATATCCTGAAAAACGATGCATTCGAAATCGGAAAAAGTCATAGTCATGACAGGCCAAGATACCACAACTAACTAATAAAAATAATTACAATATAAAGATGTTTGAACATCGATCCGTTTATTGACTCCAAAGCACTTTTTATTCAATTTGACACCTCACGAAAGAGTTTACTTTCAATAAGTGCATCCAATAAGGATAATAAAGTTCCACCAGGGTATTGATACAGAACAAAATAAAACGCTATTCGTACCGTGCAACATAAAAAAATTTGAAAAGTGTTTGTATTATAGAATATTAACAAGGTTTCTGTAAAAAATTTCATTATTTAAAATATCATATTTAATATACTGCTCTTTATTTGACAGAAGGAAAAACGCAATAAAATATGCGTCAGTATAGATCATATTGTACAACATTAGTACTTATCCGCACCTAACTCACCTTTGTCTTTTTCCCGAGACAACTCAAAATACCGTCAACAAAACCATCACCATTGCTAATATCACTATTACAAAAAAAGGTTTTCTATATGCTTGCATCTCCAGTACTAAACAAAAAAAGATTGCAATTAACAAATACAGATTTTCTCTTGATTCTTAATTTACAAACTTAACAATATCAGCTCTGATATTAATTTCAAATAATCAGAACTTAGGATCTTATTGAAACACTTATCACGATAAATTTATTGATTTTTTCAATATACTGTATATTGGAAAGTAATTATTACAAAAAAAAATTTTTTTTAATTAATTAACAATCCAATTTTCAATTTTCAATTATTTCATGAATAATTTCTTTTTTTAATTTTATGTTTTTAAAATTACTATATTCCTCAATAGCAATAGCAATTAATTATAAAATCTCTTCTTTCAACTATTTTTTTGTTTTTCTTTTTAATTTCTTTAAAACATCGGCCTAATTTTTAATATATTTTTCAAATATTTTATAATAAAACGATATACGTACTAAATTATTATTTTTAAAAAAACATTTTTAAACTTAAAAAGAAAATCTTCAAAAAAACAATTAACTAATATTTTTTTAATGGTTTTTTTAAGAGTTGATTATAAAAAATTTTCAAATATATGTTAATTAAATCTATAAAAAAATTTTTAAATAAATATAAATAATATACACAATATATATACTTTTTTATAAAAAATATTGATAAATAATCAATAGAATATATAATAATATAAAAAATAAATCATTAATTGTATTAATTGTATTAAGAATTTATGATAGAGATGAAAATGGCACTTATGAAATTATTCTTCAGGCATTGCCTGATGGAACCTTTATTCTCTCCGAAGATCATGCAAAAATATTAATCATACTTAGTAATGCTTAGCATTACTTACTATTGATATATTACAATCCGCCCGAATAGAAAATTTACGTACAGCAGGATATAGAACAAAGAATTTATTTCAAAATAAAAATTTTAATCTTTTAAGGGTAACAAGTTAAAATCGGTTTTCAGCATATGCTACGATGCTATTCTCAATACGCAGATCAATGTAAATATTAAAACATGATAATTTAAAATTAATATTATGTGTGAATAAAGCTCATAATTTTTGTGCTATGATAAAATAGAACAAATAAAATCAAAATTGGAAAATTAGAATCACTCGGAGAAATACGCGCGAAAAATAACTTGGACTTACATCATTTTCCTCGTCAACTAACATGGTCAGTTCGTGTAAGAATTCACCTTTCAATTCATCGGTCTCGATTATTTGTTTGGTTGCGTCGACGGTCAGAGAATTCATATCACAACGAAGCTTATACTTTACGCTAACATTTTGATGCCGGTTGTTTTGATGTTGCTTGCCTTGATTCTCGGCAATGTAATTCTTCCGATATATTGACGGTGTTTGCTCATTTAGCTCCATGTTCAACCATTCCGACTTTATAGTATAAGAAAACGAACAAAGATTAACTCGATGAATGCATCTCTGACGAAAATTGTTTTGCAAACTCACTATTTGATTAAACGCGGTCATATCTCCTCTTTCAAATAGACATTCTGAAAGAAATCAGGTTAGGGAATTTTTTGAACCATAAAATCGAGATATAATGTATCTTCTTCTAAAAAGGATACTGCAAATATATTGCAACATTTCGACATTAAACACAAATTTTGTAAAAACTGATGTACGCAGCGTTTCGTTTTCTATAGCCCGATCGATCAATTCTTTCGTCACACCTATATAATCAACATCCTGTCCGATGAACTGATGCAACACTACAGCAGCCATAAGCTCTAGATGAATAAGTCCAATTAATCCTAAGCGTAAATTTCCCTTTCCGAAAAAAATAAGGTAAAATACCTTTCCGGGACAGACAACAGCTAATCATACGTCCTATTGTATGTAGGGGCCACAATATATCAATTTTGTTCAAGAACATGTACATAGATGTAACACGAGCAACAGCATTCAGGCTATGCCTGTCAAAAAGTTGTGAGAAAGTCGAGTTTTGCATTCGATGCATTCAATGTATGTTAAAAATTGAAGCTACCTCAGAGATATGGTCGGAGAGCCTTGCAAATAATATATATCTGCTATCCGAACATCATAGACAAATCTCGGTTCGTTATGCTTCTCCGACTCAATACACAAATATAAAAGGTATTGCGTTATGTCATGAAGAAGAGGCTTCACATGCCCGTCGAGGATGTCCACGATCGCATAAAACCTTTAAAAGAATGTCGTCAATATGTTATAAAAAAAAGAAACTAGAGTATAAAAATAACTTTCATCTGTGTATACATCCATATGATAAAAACGTACATTTCCCGAGGCCAAAATTTTTCTGCACATTTACTCGACATCATAATTATCATGATCGGACTATACAATTGATGGTTCAATTGCTTTGCATCGTGCCGTGGAGATTTTTAGCATGAGAAACTTGAATGGTAGTCAATTTTTTAAAAATGTTTAGGAGGCGCGTTAAATACCATTTGCTTTCTTTGCGCCTTTCGATTGCATAAATGTCCGGCAGTCAAGCTTATAACGATATGATGTGCCCATTTTACATTTTTGAGCCTTGTTAAAATACCGAGCGCTGGTTCCTGTGAAAAATAAAAATTGATTAAGTAAATATTATAATAATATAATATTAATAATTTAGTGCGAGGATAATAATATATTACAAGGCTCTTAGTATCTGCCGAATCCATAGATTTGATCATCCGATGTGCTGCGACTCGAAAATTCTTTAACTCGTCGGAATTTAAGCGAAGGATAATATCAAATTCCTTTCGGTATGTTGTCTCAAGGCTATCTTCGGCACCATATATGACTTTTATAAACAGAACTTAATATAAGTTTAAAGATGTGCGCGGCGTGAAAATAATCATCAGTTACCTTGAGCATACTGCGAATATATTTTGAATATTTCGATACAAGCGATCATAAATTTACAAAAACGATAATGTGACGAATGTACCCCTGAAAATGTGGCAAAATAATTTATTACTGATTCGTCGAAAATGAACTACACGTAAATAAACCTACTCTTCCATTCATTTTTGGATCTCGAATTTAATATATTCGTCAGGAAGTTACCAAGGAATTCCCAACGACAATGATCTAACATAACAGACGTTATATTTTCCTATGTATCAATACATTTCAATGTAAGTCGGAATAGTCAGCGGCTACTAATTAAGAGGAATTGCACTTACCAGAACTGATAAATCTAATAAAACATTATTATTCAGAGCTTTGTTACTCAGCTTTTCCACATGCAACAACTTTTCATCATCTATTTTATCATTGTCGAAAGAGGATTTAATGAATTTCTCAATGCCCTCCCATTGAACTTGATTATCATTAAGAGTGCTATTAACGGATCCACGTGCACCAATGGCGTCTGATAAATCAACCTAAAATAAATCTATTTCAGTAAAACGCTGTACTCTAATGTTCAAGAGAATGGTAATGGAAATCATTACCAATCGATCGTATCGAACATTTTGAACAACTGTCGTGAATATTGAAGGGAAACTCGTAATTTGGGGAAGAGGAAGGGGCTGCTGAAAGTAAAATGAATCAATAAGCCACTAATAAACATACATAATACTTGAACAAACAGAAAAGACTATAACCTGAATATTTCTTGGCTTCAAAACATTAGAAGCACCCTGAGTATTTACGACCTGCTTTCCTTTGCTCGAATCAGAATGATTGTGATTTGACGGTAAAAAAGAGTTACACTCGAGACCCCTCTCTTTGCACTGATCACATGATGTGCTACTTGAAGATCCTGAACATTTCCGACGTGTCCTATAACAGTTTGCACACGTCTTGGTCGAAGTTTTCATCGATAATCTGTATTCATCTTTTTTGGCTTTGATGGCCTTGCAACTAGTATTCAACAATGCTAATCTTTCAATGATGCGCTCAACAGGATATTGAAGAAACTCCAGGCCTATCACAAAAGACCTCGATTATCTCATGCATAAAAATAATTATAACCTTCTCACTCGATCTAATAAAATAAGTACCTTCAATCTTCCTCAATATTCCCCAAATTTCATCTTTCTCAATTTTTTGGAAAAATAAAGAAATAAATTTTCTCTGATTTTCGCTTAAACTTTGACCAAAAAAGTTTCCATACTTTGCTTTCAATAATTCCATAACCTTGATAATAGTTTCTTCTTTAAAATTATCGTGGAGGTACTGAAAACATTGTGTGGGAATCTCATCTATCATCTCATCTTTCGAATGAATAAATGAGTTAGATAAAATTTAGCATCGTTGCCAATGTTTTGCGGAGATTAACTCACCCGTGGATACGGATGGCGATAAATTAAACACGTTATAAAAAGCAATCTGAATGGCTGCATCTTCTTGGCCAAGTGTGACCGCCTCCCTAAGGAGAGCACGTGTCTCGTCCAACGGTATACTGTCCGTCAAATTATTTTCAAATGATTTGAATAATACCGTACAAACACCCTTATAATCTTGATCTTCTAAAAAGTGCTTCAATTGTACAGATGGCTTAAATTTCTTTGTCAAAAAACCGGTTCCCTTGATCAAAGCTGATAGTCGATCTTTATCTATGGTACTTGTAAAAAAAAAAAAAGTCACAATATTTAAAAAAAATTTTAAGAGCTCTTCTTGAGATAATAAATCAACATAAATTTATTCATACCAGAATAACCTATATTCACTGGTGGATTCATAAGGAGCTCCTTCGAGCGCGCATTTGCACAAGTATGCAACGGACTTTCCTATATCCCTCGAAAAATAATACTCCCCCAACTCATAAGATAACTGGATCCGAAAGATATTATGAATATGATAAGAAAGAGACGTTTTGGGAATGACTCCATCCACATAACCCTAAAAAAAAAAACAATGTGAATGATAACTGCCGACATTCACCAAGAAACATAGCTCTAACAATGAAGGTGCAATCTAATACCACGATATCCTCGTCCAGAGATTTTAATAGAGTCTCCAAGACTTCTACTGAATTTTCACTTGGATCGAGTTCAGATCCGAAATCAATATCACTTGACTTTGATCTTATAATCCATCGGTGATACAATATCGTGGGATCATAACGTGGATCGTAATTTTCGGGTTGACTTCACGGAAAGGACAATGAATTTTCAATAGGAAAAACAGTGGAACCATTGAAAGTAACTTAAAACATCAACATACTACTCAAGATGGCTTAGAACACTCAAAGTAACTAGCTGTATGTTTCTCGGTACATTCTGTTCGATATTTTGCAAATAGAGGTTGGTCTTACGGATTATCTATCGAAAATTTAGTGAAAGTATTAGGAATAATAAAGAAAATATCATTTGTAAATGCAGATAGTATACCTTACAGGCTGCTTTCACCAATTGATACTGGTGAATTGATAACGAAAAGGAAATCGGATCATTTTCAATTATTGGGGTGGGTTCAGGAAAATCACTTTCATCAAGTAAGGTCTTAAGAAGCTGACCTCCGGCGATCTGGTGATCTGATGGGTGAATTGATTCGATCTTATTGTAAAGAAAATTAAGTTAATCCAGGCGAATAAACATAATGCGCATTTAAATTAGAAGCAAGTTTTACATTTTTATCGAGTTGGCTGAGATCCGAACACCACTCAAATGTGTTCTTGCTGGAAAGAAACCCCGGTCTAACGGTAGACATTATATTAAATATAATGAATATGTAATCAAAAGAATGTTGGGAATTGATTAAAAACCAATTACGACTTGTTGGTCTTTATATATTGTTAAGTGGCCAATCTTAGGGGACTTATGGATCATGTGATTTAGTGAGTTGACAAAAAAAGGCAGCTTCCTTTTAAGTATAAAGTCATCTCTTTAATAGCTCTAGTTATATTATAAATTAAACGAATATATAATTTTAAAAAAATCTTTATTTAAAATAAAGAATTAATAATTATTTATTAGAAAATAAACTAAATTTTAATTAAATATTGATACAGTAGAACCTCTATAAATTAATACTTCATAAATTAACAATCTTAAATTTATAAAAAATGTCTGGTCTCATTTTCGGACTTATAATATAAACTAATCTTTTTTCATTATATTAAAATTGTCTTTTTTATTTAATATCATGTGATTTATACAACAATAATATTTTATAATATTTTGTTTTTATCTTATATATGGATTTTTACAAGTTTATAACAAAAATCATATATTATTTTATTCTTATAATTTTATAATACTTATTTAAGTTTGTTATTTCTATAATTTATTTTTTTTTTCAGTTTCTATTGATCAAACTTAATCAAGTTTGTGTATTTATTTTTAATTATTGATTTTTTTTAATGCTTTATTTTTTATTAAAAAAAGTAATGGACTATTATCAATTTTTTATTACTGATAACTTAAAAAAAGTACAAATTATAATTAGAATAGTATCTGACTTCTATATTATTTCAATAGACTTATTAATTATTTAGGTTAAATCTGATTAATTCATTACTTTCTATTATATACAATATAAAAAAAAAGATTGATTTTTGATTTTAAATATTGTTATTATAGTAAATATCTAATATTTATTGATTTGTTAAATCCTTAATAACAAATTTTTAAAAATATATAATTTTTTATTTTATTTTATAAGTTTTAATTCAAAATATTGTAAGTTTTCTAAAAAGTTAATTATTATTATACAATATAATACTTCTTGCTATTCTTTTAATTTTTTAAATATATTTTTAATTTAATTAATTATTATTATCAATTATCTTATAATCTTTTCAATATCAATTTTTTTAAACAAATTTTTGATTTTTTTTTATAGTTATATAATTTAAGTTACAAGTTTTTTTTAATATACAGTACTAAATACAAGATAATAATTATTTTTAAATATTATTTTATTGTTTATTATTTAATATATTTTTTTAATTGACCTGTGGGTCTATAGTGTAGGACCTGTGGGTCTATAGTGTAGTGGTTAACACTTCACAGGTCAGATCACAAGATACCAGTTCAACCCCAGGTGAAGG